TCTTTGACAAAGTGAAGCCTCACATTGATGTGTTTGGTTCACTCATGATATATTGAATTATTCGACTAGTGTATTGCATATTAATTATCACATTTAACGGTGATAACTCGACCTTGAAGTTTCAACTCCTTAACAAAATCTTCAAGCCACAATCCTTCTTTCACACCTTCAGTAAGGGAAATATATTTTTATTCAGTGGTTGATAAGGTAACAACCTTCTGAAGTATTGTTTTCCATTTGATTGTCATACCAAACATGGTGAACATATATCCAGAAGTAGATTTTCTAGAATCCATACAACCTGCAAAATCAGAGTTGACAAATCCTTCGATTACAACTTTGCTATCATCATAATTGGCTCCACTATATACCAGGACTCTACTCAGAGGGCCATCGGTGTACCTCAGAATCCACTTTAATGCTTGCCAGTGCATCTTCCCAGGATTGGCCATATACCTGCTTACAAGTCTCACTCTGTATATTATGTTTGGCCTCGTACATACCATAACATACATCAAAAAACCTATTATACTAGCATATGAAATGCTATTCATATAGGCTCTTTCGAATTCAATACTAGGAATTTGAGTCGTACTTAGCTTGTATTGAAGATTAGTTGGTGTTAGAACATGCTTTGAATTCAACATACCAAATGTGTCGAGAATCTTCTTCAGGTATGTCTCTTAAGATAAGCATAATCTCGAATGCTTTCTATCTCTTCGGATGTCAATCCCAATAATTCTGGAGGTAACTCCCAAATCTTTCACGTCGAACTCCTTATCGAGTTCAACCTTCATTTTCAAAACATCCTCGACACTGTTGCTTGATATGAGGATGTCATCCACATAAAGCAACCAAATAACAAGTGAATTTCCAGGTCAAAATCTGAAGTAAACACATCGGTCGTACTGCCTCCTAGTGAAACCTATGTGTGCCATGAACTTGTTGGATCTCCTATTCCATTGTCGAGGAGATTGTTTCAGGCCATATAAAGACATATTTGGCTTGCACGCATAATCTTCCTTTCCCTTTTCTGCATACCCTTCAGGTTGCCTCATCAAGATTGTTTCATCTAGATCACCATACAAGAAGGTTGTCTTCGCATCCATCTGTTCAGGTTCTAGGTCAAACTTTGCCACCATAGAAAGCATCATTCAAATGGACCCGTGCTGTACAACAAGTGATAACACGTCATTGAATTCAACACCTTCTTTTAAAGTTAACCCCCTAACAACTAGCCTTGCCTTAAATCTCTTCGATATCACTCCTTTGATTTCTTCCTTAACCTTGAAAATCCACTTACAGTTGACTAACCTAGCTCCACCAGGTTTCTTGATCAGCTCCCAGGTGTAATTATCATGAAGATATTTCATCTTATCATCTATGTCTTTCATCCATTAAGTCTTATTTCAACTCCTCGTGACTTCCTTATAGTCTTTAGGTTCTTCATCCAGAACCTCACTTGCAGATATTAAGGCATAAGCTATGAGATCTGCATAACCAAGTCTCTAAGGTGGCTTGATGACTCTTCTCGACCTATCTCTTGCTAGTAGGCAGTCATTATACGTCTCATCATCTTCATCAATACATTGTGCTTCTCCTTCGACTTCATATGGGTTATGCACTTCAACATCACTATGTTCCATCTCAACATGAATCTTTTCATGTTTTAGCTCCTCCACAGAGATCTTCGTACTTCGACTAACGTTGTCAGTTTTATTGAAAGCCATTTTAGCTTCATTTAAATTGCTAAATATGCTTAATATTCCCGCACTTTATCATAATTTAATGCATATTTTACTTGTAATTTTTATGGTCTTATTGCGGGGATGATTATTAGAATTGCTAAGGAAACACATGACCCATACTACTTGCCTAATAACCAGGGTAGTGCAATGTGTTGTCTTTCTATCTTGAGTGTGATTCTTCATTCTATGTAACTCGAATTTGGCTTCAACATAAACTTCTAGGGCATCATCTTTTTGATATAATTAAGTAAGTGTTTTCATCTTTATTTTTAGATTATTTTATTAAGTCTTTTTAATGTGACACTTGTTAGTTAGAAAAACTCTGCCCAATGTTTGACGTGAAAACTAAACGCTTCATTCCACTATTTATTGCTTGGTTGGAAGTAAACTTGAAACTTCGTTTTTCCATGTATAAGGGGGTTCTTGGGCTTAACCTACTAAATCTCTTAAGGATTATGGGATACTCTCAAGATCAATTATTTGGGAGAGGATTCAATAACTTATATGAGTCAAGTAGTCAGTAAACCTTGCAAAATGTTTTTTTTAATCTTGGTTTGAAGGATTGACAAAAACAATGATGTCTTTGGGTTATGAGTAAATCCAATGGAATTATACTCTATTCTTCAAACATTCACAAGAGGAAAATTAATTGTACTTATTTTGCAACAACCCGTATAATATATATCTAGAATAACATCATACAATCATAAGTGCTTATTGACATCATTTACATACTTGACGAATCATACTAGAAAAATACAACATATGGTACAAGATATGGAAGGTCCCAAAAATAAAAGTCTAAGACCTAAGTACAATATTCGTCATAGTATAAGATACAGAACGAAAGGTCACAATAAACAACATCCTTTAAAACATCAATGCACAACGCCTCTTGTATATTAAACCTGCAAACAAAACATAAAAAATAATAACAATATTAGGGTGAGACGATAATCTACCATCTTTCTTCAAGAATTTTCCTTTGACGGGAAATCCTTCACCAGCAGAAGATGGTTCATGCTCTTTTATTTCATTCAGGTCCTTATAGTTTAAGGTTGATTGAACTTCTTCAAAGGTCAACAAATCTTTTCCATACAAGAGAGTTTCTTTGAAATGAGCATGTGACTTAGGTAAAACACATAATAATGTTTGATCTTCATCATCAATCTTTACCTCAATATTTTCAAGATCAAAAATCAACTTGTTGAACATATCCAGCTGCTCAGTCAAGACTTTGTCTTCACTCATCTTGAACAAATACAAATTTTTTTCCAGGTAGAGACGATTGACCAACAATTTTATCATGTACAAGCCTTTAAGTTTCGTTACACACCCACTGTTGTCTTCTTCTTCGAGTCCTATCGAAGAACCTTATCACCAAGACTCAATATGATGCCACAATGAGGTTTCACGATCATCATTGTCTTCTCCATCTCCATTAGGGCAATATCCATCTTCTCTTATCCTTTCAAAGCTTCTAACAAACTCTGTTGAACCAGTAGAGTTTGCATCTTCAACCCCCACAAATCAAAATCATTCACATCAGTGAATTTCTTAATCTCATACTTTGTTGATGACGTCTTGTTCTCCACACTCATCGTACCAGTTTGTTATGAATCGCTGTTGTCAAGGACAAATCAAAATATGAGAAACATTGAGTTTCTTGGACAAACACAAGAAACCTTATTAGGTTTTACGAAAGAGAGAGAAGAATGAAGAAGAAGAATCAAGATTGATTATAACTCTTTTACTATTCACTTTCTCTATTAGAATTTAAAGATTACAAGTGAATATCAACAACCCAACTCCTCTCAACAACTTGAGAGAAACATTCTATTTATATACTAATAAGCTAAATTAAGCTACAAGCTAACTTAAACAATTTGACTAAACAAAAAGGCCCAATTCGACATGTTAATAATCCTAACATTTTGACTATTGCATGCTTGAGCATACTTCAACTACAACAAGCAGGATCATCATGTGAACAGACTTAGATTACATGCTAAACCTTCGCGAACCATGAAACTATCCCTTTCGAGACTAGAGTTTGATCCAAATACCTCATTTTTATAAGAGAATATGTTGCTTGTTCAAATTCTATAATCAAATATATGTAAACAACACTAATTTTAATTCCAGATTGTAGAATCTAAACCTTATCAACATATAATCATGTGAACCAAAATGCACATAAACTTATATAAATAAACTTAGTTAATTCATTTTCAGTTCACAACATAAAATAATAAAGTCTTCTTGTCCATATACATTTAAAATGAACTCTAGCATATCCGTAGTTTACTACAAAAAAGGACTCATTCCCTTCTATTTAGGATTAATGTTGATGTTACAATATCTGATCTGAATGATTAACTAGACCAAATAAATCTTTGTGTGAACCACCCCAACACAGAGAATAGTGGTGAATGTTAAGTATCATCTTCTGCCAATGAACGATGATGGGCATGTCACACACAATTTCACATAAACGATGATGTGAGAACCATGTTCTTAATATTTAGTCAATACCATATCGATCGAGTTAAACATTACTTTGGTCAAATTTATTCGAACTTGATTAGTTTTAGAATATTTAATGAAATCGTGGTGTGAGTGGTTGAACCGCAAAAAAAAAATGATTTTATCTTTGTTTAATTAATACTTTTAATTTATACTGATATATTTTTGACGTTGCAATGATTGATATATACATATATTTTTAATTTAATTTTTTAATACAAACTTTGAATTCATTATCTTTATTAATTGGATTCACCAAATTTGATTATAGAATTTAAAAAATATGATTTTAATTTAAAATTTTTTGAAGAACTTAGAATACTTTTGAGTTTTCAAGCCGCTTGAGAGAAACTTTTAAAAATAAATTTCACAATATTTATTAAGGTTTAATGATGTTAAAGTCACCGTGTAAAATTTTTTTATACTATCATTCAATAATAATATATAATTTATCAATCTTATATAAATATTTTAAAATTTTCAAAATTGAATTAACTGGAATGTATAATTGTTATCGGACCGTGTAATTTATTTTTCCTATTTATTAGTGTATCGAATTAAAAATCTCATCATCCACAATTTATTGCATTTATTTATTTATTTTAAAAAAATTTGAAATGGTCCTTTTTAAAAAATAAAAATAAAAAATGAAAATATCCTGCATTTTTTTTTATCTCTATAGAGACTCTCGTTATCCTCCATAGATGAAACAGAAACTAAGATGAAATGTTGCTTCCAGCTACTAACTTCCACCACACCTACACCCCTTCATCTTCATTCTTCAACTTCCCCTTCCATTCCCCCAATTCAAAATCCCTAACCCCTTCCAAATTCATTGTTCGATGCTGCGTTTCCAAATCCCGAACCCTTCCTAAATCCGCCATTCAACGAATTGCCGACAAACTCCACTCCCTCGGCATCACCACCGATCAATCCACATCCCCCGCCACTTCCACAACTGCCGGTGAAATCTTCGTTCCGTTACCACACAACCTTCCGAAGCACCGCGTAGGGCATACACTCGACCTCAGTTGGAGCACGCCGGAGAATCCAGTTCCGCTTCCTGGAAAAGGAATTGAGAAATTGAGCGAGAATGAGGCGGAGAGACAGCGACTGGAGAGGGCAAAGGCGAGGGAGGCGAAGAGAAGGAGAGTTCCGACGCTTGCGGAGCTGAGTCTGACTGATGGGGAGATTTTGAGATTGACGAAATTAGGATTTGAGATGAAGCAGAAGATTAAGGTTGGGAAGGCTGGGGTGAAGGAAGGGATTGTTAACGGAATTCATGAACGGTGGAGGCGCTCTGAAGTTGTGAGGATTGTTTGTGAGGATCTTTGTAGAACTAACATGAAAAGGACTCACGATATATTGGAGGTATAATTTTTAAAATCAAGTGAAATTTTTGTAGTTTTTCACTTTTTTGCTTTGATTTTACTTGCTTGGATGAATGGGGAGGTTAGTGATACTAATCAATATAATTGGGCTGGTATTGTGAGAAAGGTAACCTACTATGTGTTGAGTAAGGAACTAAGCACATAGCCACAAACATGGACACCAACCACATACACTAACAATTATATACGTACACACAGATACTAGTTTTAAACATTGAAATAGAAATGATGGATTGTGACTACATATATCAATGTTGTATATCTGGTGTATCTGTGTGGAAGCATGAACACTTTAAACTTTGAAGTTGGAATTCAGATTCATGTCTGAAATGAAACTACGTAGGGATATATTCTGGATGTTTTAGTTAGTGTTTAATAATTATATATACATACATACCAGTTTTAGAATTAAATATTATGTGACAAAATGATAAAATATGATTGAATGTTTGATGCAAGAGTTCCTTTGCACCTTGTTGACATTGTTAGAATCAGAATGCCACGATGATAATAACATATATGATTTTATATCTATAGTAATTGCAATTAATTTTTAATATCAACTCTTTATTATATTATTATCATTTTTGCACACGGACAGATGCTAAGAAAACTTTGCCATCTCACACACATAAAGTTTGACAACTTTCCACTTCAATGATGTCACTATTTAAAAACTCAATATGAGTCCTTCAACCTAATATACTATTCACGGAAACCATATTTTAATCTTAAGAACAGGTTGCTTATATAAGAATAGCTTCTGCTAGTGATCGTAATAGTTGCTAAGAACCTTGTAAGCATAAAATTGTTTTCTTATTATTTATATTATTTATTGTTTTGTAGATATACTAAAGGATATTGTAAACAGAACTTTTTTGTTTTGTTTTTCTTTCTATACTTATTGACAAAATGTATCCTCATTTTCACTTTATTTTCTGTTTTCAACTGTTTGTACGAAAAACAGAGAAACTGTTGTGTTTGGTTTTGAGAAAACAATTTCTTTTATTTTTCATCCATCCAATATGATCAGGGAGCCCTATGTACAATAATCTGATTACAGCTTATAATATTTTTTGTCATTGTCAGAGAAAAACTGGAGGACTTGTTGTTTGGAGATCTGGAAGTAAGATAATATTGTACAGAGGGATTGATTATAAGTATCCTTACTTCCTATCAGATAAAGTTTTGAGAGATGATAACAGTGGTGATGCTTTGCAACATATGAATGGTGATGATAAAAATGGTGATGAAAGAGAGAGCCATTTGTCTGATATGAATTCAACCACACATACTGGGCAAAGTTCAAACATCAAAACTGTTAAATCAGCTTTGGTACAAGGAGTTGGGGCTCCGAATAAAGTTAGATTTCAATTGCCACGTGAAGCAGAGCTTTTAGAAGAAGTAGACAGCTTATTAGAGGGCCTCGGGCCTCGATTTACTGATTGGTGGGGGTTTGACCCTGTGCCTGTTGATGCTGATCTTCTACCTGCTGTTATTCCTGGATTTAGGCGCCCTTTTCGCCTACTTCCATATGGTGTGAAGTCTAATCTAACAGATGATGAATTGACCACATTGAAGAGACTTGGCAGACCCTTACCATGCCATTTTGCATTAGGTCAGTTTGTCCTACATTTCCTAACTGACCATATTTGGATCCTGGGTGCATTGGGAATAACATATTTACAATTTATCTGAGATTATTTTATGGCATGAGTACTTATGTTATGAATTTGGGCGAGCTTATTAAAATACCCTACGACACGTTCCTAAGTTTTTTTGAGCTTATTTCAACGTGCTCTCGAAAATAGCTTACCAAAACAATATATAACATATATGACAACAATTTTACCTTAATTCCATCTTCAATTATAGAAATAGTTTATAAGTAAGCACTTAATTTATTTTGCTGTTCTTTTGTTTTACAGGTAGGAACAGGAAACATCAAGGACTGGCTGCTGCAATTATCAAGCTCTGGGAAAGGTGCGAGATTGTCAAGATTGCAGTAAAAAGAGGTGTGCAGAATACTAGCAATAAGATAATGGCTGCAGAGCTTAAGGTCAGTCATTGTTTTTCTTAATATTTTCATATCTATGAAATTTTGTACTTATGGTTTTAAATTTAATATAATGGTTAAAGGAAGTGTATAACCTTGTCTATCATAGCCTACTCCTACTCTTTTTGGTGCCATGTTTTTTATTCATGTTACTGCAGTTAACTACACCTTTCAATCAATGTCACTTGTAAAAACATTTGGAATATTGAGTACCAAGGATATGTTACCTTTGATGGCAATGAATTCCCATCTGATTCATGTTACAACGTTCATGCCGGTGGTTGAAGTGAAGAATCTTTGATATTGTCGTTAACTTGCAGATTAGTTTCATCCTACTTCAACATTCATGACAAAATGGAAGCTAGATATGTTTGCATTTGTCCATTTTGTTGTTGGCTTGGCTGTTTTCATTCACCCTGTAAGTAAATAAAATTGCAAGTCCCTCACATGAAATTCCCGAGCTCTGTTGTTTTATCTTGCATGTCCAATTAACAATTGGATAGTGTAAATTAATTTGTCTCAGTAAGATTTTTTTTAATGTTGCACATTTTCTTCTAATCTGTTAATGAACGTTAAACCTAATCCAAGTCCAATAATGGAGGTAAACAAGACAAATATCATTTGTTGGGTAAAGGTACGAAGAAACCAGGCGTCTGGAAGGTTTTCCAAAAGGCAGGAAGAGGAGAGGGTGGGAGAAAGTTATGTAGAAGGCTGAAGTGTCAATTCTTATGGAGGATGGATTGTGAGGGAGTAGAGTGAGTCATTTTTTGTGAAGATATATATTACTACGAGGAGACCAGAGTAGCCATGAGATCTGGTTGATGAAAGTTGCCTTTGAATTGAGTTTCTTTTCTGTTCAACTCTAGTAATAATATTAATATACACTCACTTCCTTTTGAATATTTTTTATCCTATCATTTGCTCCAAGAGTTACATGCTTTACCTCATGTCACCCCAAATGATGGAAGACGTTGAATTATTAGAAGTGAAAGTAAGCCCTGTTGGAGGATTCAAATTCAATCAAGATTTCAATACTGGAGTTTTAACAATATCTACTTCTTGAAATGAGTAAAATGTTGAAGCTATGAACTTTTAAGGGTGAAAGCAGTGGTGGTACCCCGAGCGTTGGAGTTTTTTTTTACTGTGCCTTAATTGGACAAGTATTCCATTGTACTTCGTCAAGTTGCCAATGTTCGATGGTGTTGGCCTGCGAGCTACGCAATGTGATTTTGAGATTCAAGGTACTTCCGAGGATTTAATAGTTAAGCTTGCTCTCCGATGGTCACATAATTCAGTGGTTTAATTTGTTGAGAGGCTGAGGACCATATTATGTGAAGGCTTGAAGTGTCTAACCTATCAGGAGCTCATGGACTGCAAATCAACTGTTTGTGTTTTCATTGTGGGGAGAAGTCTTATCTCTTGCATTAGTGCTCAAAGAAGCAGTACTGGCTTTTAGTTTTTGGGAATAATGAGAAGACTATAAATAAAGATGGCGAGATTCCATTCATCTTGGAGTTGTTATGGTTAACCATCTTTTAGTATCCCTTGACATTTTAGTTTATCTTCATATCTCCTTTTTAGTCCGAAGAATTGAACAAAATAGTATCTCAATTTGGGCTCTGGGCCTAACCTAACCCCACAAATCCGTTTTGTAGTACCACAATTAAGGTGGATTTCCAACATAATACAAATATCCATACAACAACTAAGCCTTATCCCACTAAGTGAGATCGACTACATTGATCAGATCCCGTCATAATACAAAGATCCCTAATCAGTTTTAAATTGAAATTGCTCACTGATCTGATACAACTGTTCGAGGGGAGCTAGTTAAACATTGGTTTTGTAGCTAGAGTAAATGCATCCTATATTTACAGTTTTATAATAAAAGACATATCATACCATTATATCTTGATTTCAGTTTGATAAAAGATCTACTTCTCTGCAGTATCTGACTGGAGGAACTCTCCTGTCTCGAGATAAAGACGTTATTGTCATTTATAGAGGAAAGGACTTCCTGCCTGCTGCAGTTTCTTCAGCAATTCGAGAGAGGAGGAATGTTTTAATAAATAATGTGAAGGCTGAAAACAACTCATCAGTGACAGCCTCTTCACATTCTGAAGGAAATGATATGACACTCCTTAAAGATAAAGAAATCATTGAAAAACGAATATTGGCGAAGGCTAATGAAGATATTAAAAGGACTACCATCAAATTGTCACAGGTATGATTTCATTAACAAGTTCCAGTTTGTTGTTTCTCACTTGTTACTTTAGAGTTACTGGTGGTATAGCTTTCACATGCAGGCATTAGAGAAGAAAGAAAAAGCTGAAAAACTTCTAGAAAAGCTAGAAAGAAGAGAGAGTCCTCAAGAACAAGAAATAGATAAAGAGGGTATTACTCAAGAAGAGAGATACATGTTGCGGAGAATTGGCTTGAAGATGGATCCTTTCTTGTTGCTAGGTGACTTTAATATGTTTGAAAATCAGTGATAGATAGTTGATTATACTCCCTCCGTTTCACAATGAGTGACTCAGTTGGCCATTTCACGCAGATTAAGAAAAAAGTATAATTGAAAGAGAGAGAATGATATTTTTACTAAAGTACCCTTATCATGTATTGAGAATGATGAAAACAATATTAGAGGGTAAAATTGGAAAAGATGCATTGGAAATTGAAATGGGTATTTATTTTAGGACACTCTTTTATTTCAAATGGATCACTCATTGTGGGACGGAGGGAGTAATTTATTGGCTTTATTCTAAACATGGAAGTAAACTATTAACACCTTTAAAGCTATCTAAAATATTTGACTTTGATAAAATTTATTCCTGACAACTCTGTTGAAAGAAATAGATAAAAGCTGTTGTTATTTTACTCCTTAGCCAAAGGCTGATTTATATAATGAGAATACAATAAAAATACTTAATTCTCTCCTTAATGGAGAATAAAAGAAAATAAATGACAATAAACGTAAACAATTAAATATGCAAATAAAATATTTTCCAACACCCCCCCTCAAGTTGGTGCATAGATATCTATCATGTCCAACTTGTCTATCAAATGCTCAAAGGTAGGTTTTGCCAAACTTTTGGTCAAGTTATCCGCAGTTTGCTGACTTGAAGTCACAAAAGGTAGACATATGATTCTAGCATCTAACTTCTCCTTTATGAAGTGTCGATCAATCTCCATATGCTTGGTTCTGTCATGTTGAACTGGATTATGAGCTATGCTAATAGCAACTTTACTGTCAGTACAATTTCAATGGAAGCTCAACTTTCATCTTAAGTTCTTTTAAGATTCTAAGGATCCATAATCCTTCACAAATACCTTGAGACATAGCTCTAAACTCGGCTTCTGCACTACTCCTTGCTACAACGCCTTGTTTCTTTCTCCTCCATGTCACAAGATTACCCCAAACATAGGTACAATATCCAGAGGCTGATCTTCTATCAGTGACTGAACCTGCCCAATCAACATCGGTGAAGATAGACACACTCCTTTCACTAGTCTTCTTATAAAATAATCCTTTTCCAGGATTTCCCTTCAGATATCTCAGTATCCTATAGACTGACTCAAGATGTTCTTCGAAAGGAGAATGCATAAACTGACTCACTACACTGACTGAGAAAGCAATATCAGGTCAGGTGTGTGACAAATAAATCAGTTTTCCAACCAATCTCTGATATCTTCCAGTATCAACAGGAACATTACCTTCTCCCCAAAGTTTAGCATTAGGATCCATAGGGGTATCTGCAGGACGACATCCACTCATTCCTGTTTCTTTCAATAAGTCTAGAATGTATTTCTGCTGTGAAACCACAATACCATTCTTTGACCGAGCAATCTCCATGCCTAGAAAATATCTCATGAATCCCAAGTCCTTGATTTCAAAGTCTACTGCCAATTTCTCTTTTACCCTTGCCATTTCCACTGTATCGTCTCCAGTAAGGACAATATCATCAACATAAACTATCAGAACAACAACTTTCCCATCGTTGGAGAATTTTGTGAACAAGGTGTGGTCAGCCTGTCCTTGAATGTACCCTTGATTCTTCATGGACTGAGTGAATTTTTCAAACCAAGCTCTGGGAGACTGCTTTAATCCATACAAAGACTTGTTTAGTTTGCATACATTTGATCCAAATTTGTTTTCATAACAAGGAGGAATGTCCATATATACTTCTTCTAGATCACCATTAAGAAAGACATTCTTAACATCTAACTGATGTAGGGGCCAATCTAGGTTAGCAGCAAGAGATAAAAGAATTTTTACAGTGTTCAATTTTGCAACAGGAGCAAATGTCTCTGAGTAGTCTATATCCGAGGTCCGAGTGAAGCTTTTAGCCACCAAGCGAGCCTTGTACCTTTCAATTGACCCATTTGAATTATACTTCAACGTAAACACCCATTTGCATCCAACTGTCTTCTTGCCATCTGGTAGCGACGTAACACTCCAAGTTTTGTTCTTTTCAAGAGCTTTCATCTCCTCAAGTACAGCTTCCCTCCACTTTGGAATTTCTAGAGCAACCTGTTCACTTTTTGGAATTTCTACACTAGACAATTTTAAGGTGAAGACAGACATAGATGAAGACAAATTTGAATATGAAATAAAATTGGACATGGGGTGTTTAGTGCAAGATCTGACAGGTTTTCTAATGGCAACAGGATCATCTATATCAGGATACAAAATACGACTCTCAGAAACAGAGATAGACTTACCTTTCCTTTTGTTAGGAGGTTGATCATTCTCCAATTCAGATTCCTGGCAGTGTTGAGATGTGGACTCGTCCCTTCGTTTATGGTGCTTTTTCATAAAACCTTCCCTTTCCAAGTCTTGTTTCCTAATTCGAATCTGTTTTCTTGAAGTGACTCATTATTTTGTAGTATTTCAATTAGATCATCATTATCATCGTTTTCAGGATTCTCATTGTTTTCTACAAGAGAAAATGTAGGCTCGGATTCACAAGGCTCCTTACTCATAACAGGAGTAGGATCAGATACAGAATCATGACCATTTTCTGTTGGTGCAGATGTAAAAGTCTCAGAGTTTTGTGGTGCAGGCAAAGATAAATTTTTCAAAAAACTCATGTCCTCAATTTGAAACGAGTCTTCCTTTATCTCCCCCCTTGAAGATGAGTGTCATCAAAGAAAGGTTTATTTTTAAAAAATGTAACATCCATAGTGACAAACATTTTCTTGTTTTTTGGATCAAAACATTTATATCCTTTTTGGGTTGAGGAGTATCCAACAAAGACACATTTTATAGCACGTGGCTCAAGTTTTCCAACATTTTTATGTTCATGAGCAAAAGTTGTACAACCAAAGATTTTTAAAGTCAAATCAGTTAAAATACGAGTACTAGGAAAACATTCTTTGAAGACATTAATTGGAGTTTGAAAATTGAAAATTTTGGAGGGCATTCTGTTAATTAAATACGCAGCTGTTAAAACAGCTTCGCCCCACAAATAATTTGGTACTTTATTCGAAAAAAGTAGAGTTCTAACAACCTCCAATAAATGTCTATTTTTCCTTTCGACCACTTCATTTTGTTGAGGAGTATTAGGACATGAACTTTGATGTACATTCCCATTTTTTAGAAAAAAATCATCCAGGGTAGTGTTAAAATATTCTTTGCTATTATCACTTCTAAAAACTTGGATATCTGTTTGAAATTGGTTCTGTACCATTGAAAAAAAATTCTTTACAGCCTGACAAACATCTGATTTTCCCTTTAGCAAATACACCCAACATACTCTTGTATGGTCATCTATAAATGTGATAAACCATTTTTTGAGAGAGTGTACTAGTACGGTTAGAACCCCAAACATCTCTGTGAATAATGGAAAACGGTTTTGATGGTTTATAAGGCTGTATTGAAAAGTGGGAACGATGATGCTTTGCAAACTCACATGCTTCACATTTAAACGAAGAAAAATTCTTATTGTGAAATAACTTAGGAAACAAGCATTTTAAATAACGAAAACTAGGATGACCTAATCTTAAATGCCATACCATAATATTGTCATCTTTATTATTCAAAATAGAAAGACTCAAAGCAGGAACTTATTGTTAAAGGTAGTTGTGATGTAGATCCAGTGTCAAGATAGTAGAGTCCTCCACTCTCCTTAGCACTGCCAATCATCTTCCCTGAGTTCAAATCCTGAAAGACACAGTGAGATCGGAAAAAATTAGTTTGACAATTTATATCTTGGGCTAATTTACCGACGAACATTAAATTACACGATATGTTTGGAACATGAAGGACATTTTTAAGAGTTAATATTGTAGACAACGACCCTTTACCTGCAATGGCTGAAAAAGAGCCATCTGCAATTTTTATTTTTTGATTACCTGCACATGGACTATATGAAGAGAACAAAGTAGATTCACCTGTCATGTGATCAAAGACACCTGAATCTACTATCCAAGTATGACTGGGGTTGACACTAAGAAGTGCAGAATTACCTTTTGTTGCTATAGAGCAAGAAGGGGTTGGAGACTCGAGGAGTTTGTACAATCTGTCTAGTTGTTTCGTAGTAAATAGAAGCTGAGTTGTAGGGGATTGCTGCCCTTGATCAGAATTACTAGTCTGAAATGCACGACCACCTTTCTTCTTCCAGTTCGGAGGTTTGCCTTTGAGCTTCCAACAGGTTTCATGTGTATGCCATTCGTGCTTGCAGTGATCACACCAAAGAACTTTATCTGACCTTCTTCCCTCGTCAAGATTCCTAGTAGCCAGAGCTGAACCTTCAGATTCAGAGCATCGTGGTGTCTTGCCCATTATAATTCCTTGTCGTGCCTCCTCCCTTCTTATTTCTGCAAAAGTTTCACGAAGAGTTGACAATAGTATTTTTTCTAAAACTCTACCTCTTACCTCATCAAGGTCTTTATTGAGTCCAACGAAAAACATGAATACACGATCATTTTCTTGCCTCTTGAGAAACAAAACACTGTCTTCTGTACACCTCCAATTGTCATCATAACAAAGATCCAATTCTTGCCACAGTGTCAACAGTTCATTGTAATAAACGGTTACACTCCTGTCACCTTGTTTCGCATGCTATAACTTTGATTTTAAACCAAATATTTGGGAGGAGTTTTGAATATCAGAGTATGTTTCCTTAACAGCTTCCCACACATCCCTTGCGGAAGGTAAAAACATGTAAGACTTACCTATTCCAGTTTTCATGGAGCTTACCAGTCACGCAATAATCAAAGAGTTTTCAGATTTTCATTGTTTATAACGACGATTTTCTGATGCCGGTTCAGCTACTGCTCCTGTTAAGAAACCAAGTTTCCTTTTGCTATCTAACACCAACCGAACGGTTTGAGCCCATTCATTATAGTTATTCTCATTCAGTTTAGAGATATTGACCTTGAGGGAGTATGAGGAACCCTCTTGATCATTACCGCCTATGTTGGAATAACTATCACCAAAGACAATATTCCTGTATCCATTGTTGCTGTTATTACTGCCAAAAACAATGTTAATATCTTCATTATTGCTGTCTTTATTGTCATTGTTTATGACCACTAACGGTTCCTCTCGTTCGCCATCTCCGCGACTGCCGCCGTTTCCGCGGCCACCTCCGTTGCTGCGGCCACCACCGTTGTTATTCGCCATAAGAGATTAAACGGGTATGTGAATCGGATCGGGTAAAAAAGAGGGTCGAACATAAATTTTTTTCGGGACTACGCCCTAAACTCCACTAGTTGTAGAAAGCTTCACGGTAACCCTAATCCAGAGCTCTCAATACCATATTGAAAGAAATAGATAAAAGTTGTTATTTTATTCCTCAGTCAAAGGCTGGTTTATGTAACGAGAATATAATAAAAATATTTAATTCTCTCCTTAATGAAAAATAAAAGAAAATAAATGACAATAAATGTTAACAATTAAATATGGAAATAAAATATTTTGCAACAAACTCTCTCTTGATTTTCAGGAAGGCGAGGGGTTTTTGATGGAACAGTGGAAAATATGCATCTTCATTGGAAGTATCGTGAACTTGTGAAGATAATATGTAAGCATGGAGACCTAGAATATGTCCACCAGACAGCTCAGACCTTAGAGGCAGAAAGCGGTGGAATATTAGTAGCAGTAGAGAGAGTGAACAAGGGCTTTGCAATCATTGTTTATCGTGGAAAGAATTATAGTAGGCCTGATACTTTGAGGCCGCGGACACTTCTAAATAAAAAGCAAGCATTGAAGCGTTCTGTAGAGGCACAGCGCCGTCAGGTAAAATTGCCATAATTGACTGGAATTTGACTATTTGTGTTGGTGTGTTAGATAATTTGGTACATTTCCTTTGTGAAAAGAAAATAAGGGTAGGGTGAAAGAGAGTATTATTTGCATGGTTAAGAGTATTAAAATAATAATAATAATAATAATAATAATAATAATAATAATAATAATAATAATAATAATAATAATAATAATAATAATAATCGCCATTGGCGGGTTTACACGAGTGTTGAGAAAAACAACAAAAAGATTATGATGTTAGAACTTTTAGAATGTCATCAAAACCAATATTTTTTTAGAAGCACAAATTCTTGCTCAGAAAAAGAACCACTTTTTTCAGTGATCGATTTTTTTAAGGAAAAATGGTTCTGGATATTAAACTCTAATATAACACATGAAAATAAAAACTTTATCTAGAAAGAGCACAATGGTAGATTTTTGGTGTTAATCTTATGTTAAAGCAGTGCCTGACAGCCTTACAAGAGGCTACCTCATTTTGGTGTGTTTCTTTGTTATTAAATTTTTATTTATTTTGAAAAAGGAATTAATTGCTAATATTATATGATATAAATATCACCCCCTTATTACTTTCAATCTTGCAGGCATTGAAGCTTCATGTTTTGAAGTTAAATAAGAACATAGATGAATTGAAACTTCAAATGGTGAGTGGTCCTTACCTTTATTATGTTATTGAAATACTTTTCCCTTCAATCTCTACTGTAAAATGTTAATTTATTCATCTTAATAGGTTAAAGATGAGGCTAGTAACAAGCAGATAGCTGAAGAGTTAAGATCTGACTTGGTGAGCTATCTCGCGTTGCTTCTTTATTTATATAATGATAGAAACTGGTACCAAACATAGAAATATAATAGAAATAACTTCCTTTTAATTATGATAGAATAAGATTACACAATGGACTCCCAAGAAGTTCGAGAGTCTAGGGTCTCTCCCTTCCAAGAATTCGAGAGAGAGCATGGTCTCTCCCAAAACCAGTATCTAGTTCCGTTTAATTGCCTACTGACTTTTCCTTCCAATTCTCTATTTATTCAACAACTGTTTAATAATACTAGTAACTCCTACCTGATATAATAACTGACCCCTAATAACATAATAACCGCAATCTAGTAACATAATAACAATACTAATAAGATGTCAGCATATAACAGCCTCCTTCCCTTTTTACAAATATGAAATTAGTATTTTTGGTAAATCAGGACAAAGAGGTATATGCAAATGCAAGTACAGTACATTCTAGATGTACAGGATTAATGGCTGAACTCAAATTTTTCCTGCCTTTTTCTTTTAAAGTATGGTCTATAATATCTAAATATTCAAGGCTACGATATTTTATCATTACTCATGTGACTTGAGCTATATCTATTCATATGCGAATTACATATTTTATCACAACTTAGCTTAAGACTAAGCACACAGTTTAAGAGAGTTTCTTACCTTTTAGTATTGAGGACGGGCAATGTGAAAATTGAATACAATGAGTGTTTCTGAATAGTAGAGTTTAATGAGACTTTTGATTCCAGTTATGTTACTTGTATTGTTCTCTAAATAATGATTTCTGAAATATTTTTTGTCGTGATCCAAGACTATAGACAAACATTAAGCTAGTTCAAATTCCATAAATAGCAATTTTCCAAAAGAAGCTTCTATTGACAATCAACAACCTACACAGGAGCAGCACATTGAGCTGACTGATAGTAGCGGAGCACGTCAAGACAAACATGAAGCTAGTTCAAATTCCATAAATAGCAATTTTCCAAAAGAAGCTTCTATTGACAATCAACAACCTACACAGGAGCAGCACATTGAGCTGACTGATAGTAGTGGAGCACGTCAAGACAAACATGAAGCTAGTTCTAATTCCACAAATTATAATTCTCCAAAAGAAGCTTCTGTTGACAATCAACAACTTATGCAGGAGCAGCATATTGAGCTGATTGATAGTGGTGTAGCGCGTCAAGACAAACATGAAGCTAGTTCAAATTCCACAAATTGCAATTCTCCAAAAGAAGTTTCTGTTGACAATCAACAACCTACACAGGAACTGCAAATTAGGCTGATTGATAGTGGTGGAGCACCCCAAGGTGAACCAGAATTCAGGGGGCGTTTGGTTCATCCAAAAAAACAGGCAAGCATATCATATTTTGGATGATAAAAATGAAAATGTTGTTCTCAATCTTATAGATTATCATATGGGTGATATCAGGGTTTCTCAATCTTATTGATATGGTCAAATTAATATGGATTTCAGTTGGATGAAGTGAGGGATTCTCTGATTGATACTGGGCTCGAGGTCTCTAACAACAAAGCAATGGAAGCATTAATTAAGTCATCCAAAAGTGATCCCGAACCATCAGCTCCAGTGATAAATAGAAGTTCAAATGAGTTTTCTTCTAGATCTTCATATCTTTCCAACAGAGAGAGACTTCTTCTCCGAAAACAGGCCTTAAAGATGAAAAATCGACTTGACATTGCCATAGGTAATTTTCAGCTCTATTTTCTTTTTTCTAGAGTTTTTTACCTTCACTTGATAAATCTTCATTGATGTCGTCACCCTGAAATTTTCAATTTATGAATTGTATTTTGGTGGAAGTATCCTAATTGGAAAGGGTACTATAATCTCATTTTTGTTTCATCATCCATGGCCATATTTTCTTCTCAGGAAAGAGCAATATTGTAACTGGTCTCGCAAAAGCAATCAAGGATCACTTCAAGAGGATCCCTTTTGTCATAGTTAATGTCAAAGGAAGGGCAAAAGGAACCTCAGTTAATGAGTTGGTGTCCAAGTTAGAGGTCTCGCATGATGAGATTCATCCCCTTTTTCTCTTCACATTGAATTATTTGTCTTAATCAATAACTATTCTCTAAATCCTGAAATTTATCTTACCTATTGTTCTTACAGCAAGCAACAGGTGGAGTTTTAGTCTCTCGGGAGCCTAGCAAAATCATACTTTACAGGGGTTGGGGGGCAGGATCGAATCCTGGCACTAATTTAAATCTAAAAGATAGTAAAGGAGGAGGAGGAGGAAGAGGAGCAAAGCCGAGTGTGTCTCCTGAACTGTTGGAAGCTATCAGAATTGAATGTGGATTGCAGTAACAAACAGAACATTGCAACTCTTTAATGATCAAGTATCCACAAACAAATTGCCCTAATTTTTTCTTTAACACTGGCAGCAGCGACAGCGACGGTTACATATGATTTATAGAAAGATGGAGATGAGAAGTCATTGAGAGGCCAATTGTGATAGCCAATGATTAACATTGAAAATTGAGGGTGTCATAAAGGTTTGATGAAAATGGGAAGAAGGAAAACACCCAAGAGGAACTGAAAAAGAAATACTACTGCAACCAGAAAGAAATAGATAAAAGGGGAGAGTCTTTGAAGTCATATTTGTGTCCTTAAATAGCTAGTGTCAGTTTCTCTGTGGAACATTTTCTTTCCTCTGGGATTGAACATAGATGTTTCATGTAATAGACTTTCCCCTGCCATGTGTCTTGTTTCTTTGCAATGCCTTATTCTGTTCTAAAGGTGAATCAAATGTAAATATAGCACTGATAAAAATGAAGATGGTAAAAAAATTAAAAAAAATCATGTTTTATATTACGAATCACAAACTGAACTTGAACCAAACAAGTGCTCTGTCTTCTAATTTTTAAAATCATCATACATTCTTGCTGTTGTTCAGTTGTCTAGTTATTCCGGTAACTTTCATCATTGAATTGCAATACTTACTACTACTTCCTATCCATCTTTAAGTAATACATATTCATTGTACATTTTAGTCTTACTAAAAGTGTCGTAAATAATAGATTTAGTTTAGTTTAGTTTATTTTATCCTTAGTTGGTTTTTTAAGCAATGTTCCTAAGGTCTTAGCTTTTTCATATTTATACACAATCTACCTGTTAAATTGTAAAATAATTTTACAATTTATTATAAAAGTCATTTCTACATACTATCACAAGCTCTTCATTTTGGAGTCTTCCTTAATGAGAAAAATCTTCACGCCAAGTAAGAATATTTTGAAAATTTTAGTGGTCTCTGACTTTGAGTTGGATCAATATCAAAATATGAAGATGGACTGCAACAAATATTGTGTTTGGCCTAATTTGGGTACAAATTTTGGTTAAGGCAAAATTTCCCACTATTAATGAAGTTCTTTTTAAATTGGGACCAGCTTTAGCAGCACGAAAAACAGAAAAATAGGGATTATCCAAGTTTTGCAGTGACAAATTTTATTGTGAGCATTATAAGAAGACAAGACATATAAAGGATATATGTTTCAAACTGCATGGAAAGAACCTACTTCGGATGAAGGGTATGTTTTTGTCCGGGATGAACAAATTTGAACCGTTCGATTCGATCAATCCATTGTTTTTTTTTCCGCAAATGGATTGAGTCGGGTATTAGATTGATTCGATTACTTAATTTGGATAATATACGTTTTAGTTGGGCTCAGATGATTATTTTGGACTCATTAAAAATCGAAATCGATCGAACTTAATTAATATATATATTATTTATTTTTATTACTATATGACTTATTCACGGTAAAAATGAGATTTATAATGTTGTTAGAATATTATTATTTTTATAATTTAATAGTGACATTGTGTGCTCCTAAAAAATATAAGACATTTAATACGAAATTTTGAGTATTATTTAAATTATAGTTTAAAGTATGATAATGATCAAATTAATGTTAAATGATCTTGAAAATATTATGACGTAATAATAATTTTTTTTAATAATAAAATAAATAGCTTTTTAGAGTATTCTAAAAATTTGATATATATATTTTTAAAATAAAATAAAAAATATTTGTGAAATTTATTAAAAAAATGTCATTTTTATATGTTTACTCTAATAAATACTAAATCGAATAAATCGATCTGATTTACCCGTCAAACCGATTTAATCGAAACCGACAAAAACTGAAATTTTATCGGTCGAAATTGGATCGTAAAAATGAAATTGTGGTTTGCATCATATTTGAGTTTTGGCCCCTAAATCGACCATTGTCCAACCCTAGTTTCCACTGCAAGCTCTATCTACAACGAGATTACTATATGTAAAACTATTCATAATAATGTGTGGATCCTCGAGGTTAGTTTTACTCATCATATGACATTTGTTCCCACACCATTATCTTTGTATACCCCTTCTTCAAGTATATGTTATAGGGAAATGCTCTTTCCACTATTATGAGTGCTCTCACACCACCTTGAAAAGTGTGTAATGTCCCTAATGTCCGAAGATGCATCTTCAGACGTATCTATTTTCGCCATTTCTCAGACCAAATTGAAGAGACATCCATTTTACGTTAAAATTTAATCCGGAGATGCATCTCTGTATGTGTAAAAAGTGCGTTCGAAGATGCATCTCTATAAACACCATTTATTCAAAAGTCATGTTGATGATCCTAAGATGCATCTCACGACGCTATTCTTTTATATTCCGTGACAAACCCTTCTCTCTTCCTCCTTCATTTTTCTCAAAAGTTCTTTAAAAAGACTCATTTGAGCTCTGCCCCTCCCAACCATTGAGGCATCAGTGAAGCTTTTTCTTCTTCTTTCTGGCATCTCGTAACATCCAAACTTCTCATTATCATTGATTAGTCATCATTTTTGCTATAGTTACTATCATTTTAATAGGTGAAAGTATGTGAGTTATTTGCATTTTCCATAAAGATTGAGTGGTTTATATGTCGGTTTCTTTAATTTTCGTATTTGTCTGTGTTTTAATTATTCATGATATTTTTGATATTTTTGGGAAGGTTAACATGTTTTGTAAGTTAAAGGAAGTCAAAGAAATGACCGAAAAAGGAAAGCGACGATTTTTCAAAAAGATCCAGAGTCTATTTTTCATCATGTTTCACATCATGATAGGCGTGTGGTATTTTTATCATATCTAGAGCGTCGTAACTTGGAATTGCTGAGTGCAAGTGTGAGTGATTAAAGTTCACATTGCACATGAATGAGTGAAATGTTGGATTTATAAGAGAGATAACTCATTTACCTAACACATTAAGGTTTTGGGTTGAGATGTGGCATCTCCCTCTCTTGTGGTCATGGAGCATTATTCCAATTGGTGCTCTCGATTTTCTCGAACTTCCCAATAGTGGTATCAAAATCGTGGTTCGACTTTGTGGGGGAGAATGTTGGATTTATAAGAAAGAGAACCCATTTACCTAACACCTTAAGGTTTTGGGTTGAGATGTGTTGTCTCCCTCTCTTGTGGTCCTAAAGTATTAGTCATATTGGTGCTCTCGACTCTCCCGAACTCCTTAATAGGAATGATGTGGGACCGAAGACAAATAAAAGCTAACATCAAGAGCTACAACTCTCATGAAGACACCAAAGGAAAATTCATAATTTTCTACCCATACGCATATGAACGATTCCATATGCGTATCATATATGAAAAATGTATGTTTCTGACCACAAGCGTATGGCCCCATACGCTCCATACGCGTATGAGACACCTCAAATGCTCTTTTTAGCTTCCCTGTATGGCTCCATACGTGTATGGCACCGCTATATGCATATGGGCACCCAGAATCGCAAAAAGAAAAAGCAATTTTGACTATTTAAGGCTAGAAAGTGATTTATTTTTAGGCAGAGACTTGATTTTTGACGACAAGTTGCAAACGAAGAGCTGGAAAACGCAGTAGATCAAGGTGGAACATCACCTTTAAGGGATTTTTACCATTGAAGACTCGTCATCTTCCTCTTTCTGTAATGTTTGACAATTTTATGATGTTTATTTTTATTATTATGAGTAGCTAAATCTCCCAATGTTAAGCGGATGTCCCTGATTTTGATTTGTTAATTATTTCTATTTGAAACTTGTGATAACAACAAGTGCTATTCTATTTGATTTAATTTTTATTTGTGCTTAATGATTTCTCTGTCAGAAAAATTGTGATTTGATTTACGATTAATAGTTAGGCAAGACTGTCAGCGTTAACGTTCAATTGAAAGTATTATGTAGTATATATCACCTAGTACTAAGGAAACCCTATAGAAATCGAATTATTCTTAATAAATAAATGCTTAAATTCATCTCTAAGTCACTATGGACATATGAGTTAATTTGAATGTTTAAAGGTTTGCTCACTAAGGACTTATGAGTAACCACCCTTAAGAACCAATAATCAATATTTTCATATAAGTTGTGGCAACTTCAGGCCAGAATAGTTAACGAATCTTATCATACACCTTCCCTGGCGTGTCTACTCATTTTGATTTAATATGTTCAACTACTCTTTACTTTTATTTTTCTATATCAAAAGCACCAATTCAAAACCCATAAGTCTTTTGTTTAACTGAATTAAAACACAAACTCTATATTGCTACGCAGTCCTTAAAATCGATACTTTGGAATTTCCCATTATTACTATATTCGCAGATTAGTACACTTACTACTTTATCGATTAAGTTTTTGACGCCTTTGTCGGGGACTGCCAAAGATTATAAAGTTTAAAGTTTTAATTTAGTTTAAATATTGTTGCTCTGCAACTCAAATGTGTATTTCAGTTTTTATTATTATTCTGTTACTACTAATTTGCTTCTGATATTTGTATGCGAGAAGAACCCATAACTAATTTTCCTTTTAACACAAAAATCTAGAGAACCTTACACGCTCAGCTCAGGAAAGCTCAATTGCGAAAACTGGTAGAACACGAGGAAAACAACTTAACCATTCAGATATAGAGTCAGAAAAAGAAGAAGAGCTAATAATGGTTGATCTACAACTTGAATGATTATTGGGTGATTATGAAAGAACATATACACCAGTGGGTCGATTAACAATGGTAAACCAACTAGTGAATGTTCCCAATTTTCAGTTGCATCCTACTACCATCTGCCAACTTGAAAAGAGACCTTTCACGAGAAAAATCAATGAATATGCCAATAAACATCTATAAATGTTTCTGACTATGAGCACTACTCTAAAGATAAAGGGGCACACTTAAGAAAGTAAAAAGTTGAGAATGTTTCCGTTTATTTTAGCTGAAGACGTCGGAGAATGGTTTTACTCACTTCCTGCTGAAAGTATCACTACTTGAGAACAAATGGAAACAATTTTTCTGAAT